ATAAAAGCTGGGAGCTGATGGCTCATGCCTGTAATCCTAGCTACTCAGGAAGCTGAGATCTGAGGATCATGGTTCAAAGCCAGCCTGAGCAAGAAAGTCTGTGAGACTCTTATCTCCAATAAACCACTAGAAAACCGGAAGTGGTGCTGTGGCTCAAGTGGTAGTGTTCGCCTTGAGATGAAGGGCACAAGGACAAGCCCAAGCCCAGAGTTCAAGCACCATAACTGACAAAACAATAAATAAAAATAAAAAAGAAATCCCTTTGTCCAATTAATATATGCTAATAAAAATTCCAAATAATGGTTAAATAGGAGAATGAGTAAATGGATAAATGAATAGCTTCAATTCCGTCTAATCCTCAGGAAAGATACAAAGGCATCAATAACTCATATATTAGACATATGGAACTGTAAGAGAAAGAAAAAAATTCTAAGAAAAACTTAAATATTAATTAAAAAGGAAAACAAAATCTCAGTAGTACCAAATCCATACTATAAAAATGGAGAATAAGTAAATCTCACTTTGATATAAGACTCAACAGAACTTTTTTGGGTGGGAGAGGGAGAGAGTAGGTTCAAAGATGTGAAAGATATAAAGATTTGGGGGATGGTTCCTTTAGTTTTCCTACAATAACAATAATTTTTTAAAAAAAAAACTGGAAAGCTGGGTGCTCTGGAAGATGCTTGTAATCCTAGCTAATGAGAAGACAGATCTGATGATCAAGGCTCAAAGCCAGCCTGAGAAGAAAAGGTCATGGGGCTCTTATCTCCAATCAACTACCAAAAAAGCCAGAAATGGGGCTCAAGGTGGAGCTTCAGCCTTGAGGAAAATAGCTCAGTGATAGTGCCCTGGCCCTGCATTCCACTGATACACACACACACACACTTGCTTCAGTAGTACCACTTTTAGTGATAAAGATGAGGGAGAAATGTCTTTAATAATTGTTTCATTTCTGTTCAAATCTAGCCCACGCAGAAAAGTCCAAGAGTCTAATCTCCAAGAAATCGGCAAAAAGTTGGAAGTAAAGCTGTAGCTTGAGTGGTAGAACAAAAAAGCTAACTAAGCATCCAAGCCTCTAAACTGCAGAGACAGAGAGAGAGAGAGAGAGAGACAGAGACAGAGAGAGACACACAGAGAGAGACAGAGCGACAGAAACAGACAGAGACAGAGACAGAGAGACAGACAGAGACAGACAGACAGATAGAGACAGAGAGAAAGAGAATATTGTCTTTACATTCCTTAGGGATTATGCCTTGTGAGTTTAGAAGGAACAAAAGATAATTCAAAAGATTTACAAATACAACTAATACTAGAATAATTTGATATGACTGAAACACTGACAGAATAAGATAGGATAAAACCTTTTTCAGGCAAAAAAGAGTAAGCTCAAATTTCCATTTTTAAAGTTAGCATAGGATAATTTGTTTTCTTTGAAAATAATTAATTACTTTCCTATAACTTGGGAAACAGTGCTAAGAGGCAAAGGTAATTCCTTTCAGATAGGAAAATTAAATTAATTTGTAATTACTGGCCAATTTTAAGGATGGTTTCTGATTAAAAACAGAAACATTTACTAAAAACTTAGAAACAATGAAGAAAAAAATGTTTCTCATTAACCCAATGTTAAAATCCTTTCCTTCTTTAATATTACAAAGCCTCTTATTTTTGAATTGGAGGTAGATTTTGAGTAAGAAGCTACTAAATAAGGATTTCAATTTTTCTTGACAACAGGAAGAAAAAATAAGATAATCTGCTAAATATATTATAATCTGAGGAAGTTTCTAATTCCTTTTCCTATCCAATGCAGCAAAGTTTATAAATCAAAAAAAATCTCAGTAGAGTTAAGACATCAATTATTTTCCCATTCTGCAAGTTACACAGGAGGAGGGGAATTATTAACAGGAATGATAAAGCTGTACTTGCATTTGGTAACACAAAGAGAAGCGTACAAATGAGACGTCTCATTAGTTTGAGCAGATGGATCAAAATTAAAGGCTGAATCGCCAACTTTTAATTTCCCAGTAGCCAAGAAGAGCTTGAAGTCTTGCAGAGTAGGATGGTTGAAAATCAACATGAAAAGATTTTCTCCATCTGTCATCACACATGCCTGAGTGGAACACAACTGCCTCCTACTGTTTTTAATACTTTTATGGCAAAGCTGCATATAAAATCTATTAAGTACATGGGCACACAAGTTTAGAAGATTGGTATGCTGAAAGCCATGGAATAGTATGATCATAGAATGTCAGCATGGTTTTTGAACATCATGAAATTTCTCTGTTCTTATTTAACAAATGAGCAGAAATAAAACAAGTTCATTTGTATATTAATAAAGAAGTTATTAATTTCTATCATCAATACTACTTAGTTGCTTGAGTGTCACTTTTTTTAAAAAGTGGATACATATTTCAGTATTCTTAATACTAATTTAATAAAATGAATGTATTTAAGGAAAACAAACCATGGAGAAAACTAAGATATTAGAGAAATTGAAGATAAGACAACAAACAAAACTTAAGAAATTTTATATTTTGGATGGGAGAATGAAGGTGGCAAAAGGTGGTATAAACAAAAACTCACTAAGAACAGAATAGACTGATTTACATATTTCTTACTCCTGCATACTAACTGGTAAGATATAGTTAAAAGATAACAAAGTAAGAGTTAAAAGCTAGAAAATCTCCTTAATAACAAGAAAATCATGTTCATTGACTACATAGCTGGCTTCTCAGTAACAGTACACTGACATAAAATTAGTTAAAATAATAAATTCAAAAAACCATAAATTCAGAATTCCAGAAGTAAACTGCTGTCACAATAGATGATACAGATGATAGAGACAGACAGATAAATAGAAGACAGATGGATATATGCACCCACAATTTACCATGATTATATGTACAACAAAATATTTAAACAGAAAGCTTTTAAAGCACCTATAGTTAGTTAGGCATTACAGTCAGGAAAAGTAAGAAAAAATACTGATGAGTTAATTTGGTTGTCAGTTTCTCAGATAAGGTGAAAAAGGTTGTTGAACTATATATTTTTTATTTTCGGATAGATGGATGCATGAAAATTCATTTGTTTAAAATTATCATTTGGAACCTTGTACAAAGACAGCCTGTGACAGGGATACCATTATCTTCAATTTCAATTCTGAGTGAAAAAAAGCCCCCATAATTTAGAAAAATCTCTTGCATTAGGGAATTCTTTGACCTTCTAAAAAACATAGAACATAGTTTTGCAGTTTATGTAAGATGTCTCTGAAAGAAGATTGTAAAAAGGAAAAATAATCCTGGGAGGTTTTCTAAGACTCTGAATACAAACCCCTACAAGAGTCTTGTATCAGCAACTAATATGAAGTACTAGAACCACAGATTTTGTCTGCCATAGCTTCCAAAATAAAAATGTGTAATTGCCTTGCTTTCTGAGTACTTACTTACCCTGCGATTTTCAGTGCTTCGAACTTGCAAAAGCATTCAGGAGAAAGGTCATTAAACCCAATAATCTTATGGGACAAATAATAGCAGTTCAGGGAATTTTTAAGAACTGAAAATGGTAAAACTTCTTTTTTGAGTTATCTTAAAAAAGAACTCAACATGAGATGACTGATCTAATGTAAAAGATCTATTGCTTTACCTGATCAGTATTCACAAAGGCAATGACCTGACCTTTACAATTTTACCAGCATGAGAGTCAAATTCCATCTAGAAACACATAGTCCAATGTATTTTGTATTTCCTACTATCCTCACTTCACTAAATATGTTATGTATTTGAAGACATGGTAATTCATCACAATCAAATAGTTATTTACCACAGTAGAAACTAATTTACAAATGCTCCTTCATAACTGATCTATTGGAACACAAAATCTAAAAGAACATTACATAAAACTCATTGATTACATGTTTTAAGTATATCTTTAGGTATAACATACAGCTCAACTCTATTTTTACTTACTGTTAGGTCATATTTTGGAATAGGGAAAATATAATAGATTAGAACAACTACAGGAACACCAGTAAAATGATAGGAAATTAAGGTTGGGGGACACATTAAATATCTGAAAGACATCAGTTTTTTTGTGTGGTGCTAGGAATGATCTCAGGACCTTGCACATAATAGGCAAGCATTCTAAAACTCAATCATACCCCAGCTCCAAACTGCTTAATTTCCAAAACATAAACAGTACAAATTATGCATTTCATATTTTAGGTGATACTTCATGAAAACAGTCAGAGCAATATAACATCATTTTACAAGAAATATTAATAAATATGAGCTAAAGTTTTGAGTCATAAAAAACTGGTGACTTTTTAATGCATTTTTAATTGTTTTTATAAAGGTGATGTTCAGGGGGTTACAGTTATGTAAGTCAGATAAAGAGTACATTCTTTTTGAACAAACAAAAATCTTTTTCTTAAACATTTAATAAAATAGCAAAATAATGGCATATTAACATTAATTACAATATTAGTATTGATCCCAATATTCAATATTATCTATGTTTTTAATCATTTATAGGATAACTCATTTGCCTAAAACAATTATTAAGAAATAAGACCTCTGAGATGCCAGGCCTGGTGGCATGAGCCTATACTCTCAGCTTTAAGGGAAGGAGAGTAGGAAGGATGGCAGTTTGAGGCAAGCACAGGGCAAAGTTACTAAGATTCTTTCTCAAAACAAGGTTCAAGGCAGATATCTGCTATTCCAGTTATATGAGAGGTAGAGATTGGAGGACCATGGTCTAAGGTCAGCCATGGACAAAGAGTGTAACATCTTATCTGAAAAAATAATCTAAAGTAAAAAGGCTGGAGGGATATGCTTGCTAGGTAAGCACAAGGCCCTGAGTTCAAACCCTGGTACTACCAAGAAAGAAAATAAAAGAAAGAAGAAAGCTCTGAGTCATTGTCTCAGAATTCAAGAATTTTAAGTAAAGACTTGAAACTAATTTTTATCATGAATTATTCTCTAAAAATAAAAATAAGTTCAATTTACCTGGTGTCCAGACTTGACTTGCTTCAAAACACTTTCATAACAAACTTCATCCATGTTATTCAATTGTTGCATCTTGAAGGTTTTAAAACATGAAAATTATAAAACAAAACAATGATAAATTTTCTAACTAGATATAGTTAAATTTAAAAAACTTCTGGAGTAGGGCTGGGAAGGTGGCTCAGTGGTAGAGTGCTGGCCTCGTATGCATCAGGCCCTGGGTTCAATTCCTCAGCACCATATCAACAGAAAAAGCCGGAAGTGGCACTGTGGCTCAAGTGGTAGAGTGTTAGCCTTGAGCTGAAGACCTGAAGGGACAGCACCTAGGCCGAGTTCATGCCCCATGACCGACAAAAAAAAAAGATCCCCCAAACACCTGGAGTAATTAGAATACAGAAGTAACAGTTGTAATGCAAACAACACAGTACAACCTACAGTAAACAAACATTTTGAATTAAAAAATCAGTAAAATATCTCAAGCCATCATTTCAGAATATAATTTGAAAGTGAAAAGATTTTTCTAAAGAAAATGTTAAAGTTCTCTCTGAGTTTTCTAAAAAGACCACTCTTCTATATACAATTTTCAAAGTTATGAGAACAAAACAGGTAGAATATGAAGTGATATACAGAATTATAACCTAAGGAAGTGTCATCTGTACTTGAAATTACAATGACTTGGATTTTTTTTGGCTCAATAAGACACACATTTTAAAATTATGAAATATTCTCACAGTAGCTAAATAGGATGAGATGATAAAGAATATCTAACTCCCAGTAATTATTCAAAAATAATCATACCCATTTGCTCTATAAAATAAATCCCGTTAACCTTTTCATTTCTGATCAAAGTCATTATTTCACATTGGAAGGATCACTCACAGTGCTTTCTCGTATTTTCTCACAGAAACCAAATCTTATCCCCAGCATTAGAATGAAACTCTCAGAAATGCACAAGGATTTCTTTTCACAATAAATGACAAAGTAATAATTGGTTACAATATATATTAACAATACCCTATCGAAATGCTTAATAGTTACCAACATTATATTTCAACTGAACATAAAAACATAAACTAATATTTTAACTAAACATAAAAACTAATTTTAGTATGAAAAAATGTATATTTGTAACAAATGTATAATTTGTTGTTTACAGTATGTAAGATGTACTTTTTAAAATGTCAAATTTCTAAACCTTCAAAATAATTATGGCAGTTCATCACTGAAAAACATTGTTAATTATTATAATTAATCACAATATTAACATATTGTAATGAAAAATATTTTGAACCTAATTAGCATTAAGCAATCTAAATGGTGAAATTCAAAGAAAATAAAGTTTAAGATGGCTGACAAGCCTTTGAAATAATTTTCTTTTAATATTTCTCTATAAGCATCTGTTGTTGCTTAAATTGTAAAGCTGAAAACAATCTAGAAACAGTAATACACTTAACCTAATATTACATGAAAATAAACTAAATAACTATATATTAAGACAATATTAAAAAATAAGCAGCAAGCAATACAGAAGAAATCTTGAAACAATGAAATTAAAATATATCATAAATAATATATACTAAAACTAATCTTTGTATATAATCTGGAAAGGATATTTGTAAATAGATATAGTATTTTATGCAAATGTAGTTAGTATAAATAATCTGTTTTAGTAATGATCATTTTTTATATTTATTAGTAGATACAATAGCATATAGCAATAAAGTCTTTTCAAGTAAAATTGTTTCTAGAGAAGATACAATTTAATATATTAAAACAGTGTTTGTCATAGTAACACAATTCTGTTTTTCTCTTTTAGAAATGAGGTGAAAAGGCTCATGAATATTATCATAAAGCTATTTTCTCTAAAAAATGTGTTGTTGAACAGAATAATAAACTTTAAACATTGAAATACACCTTCATGTTCTAAAATAAATGCTACCACATGGACTATAACAAAGAAAATGGCACATAAGGTAGGAACAGAGGAAGTTTTTAAAGCACAGTACAGAATTTTCAAGATTCCAGTTATATACACAGTAAGTATAAACATTAAAAGTTAAACACAATACCATCTCCTCATTTTAGCTGTTCTCATGAATTTATTTTTCAACTGCTTGTAAGTTCTTCTGCGTTTTATTAGTAATTAGTTAACTAGTGATCTTATTTTACAATGTCCTTTAATTAAATTAAAATAATGATTTGGAACTTCTTAACAGCCAAGAATAAAAAATATAGGTTGAAAATAGCAAAGAAAACTATTATAAGAAACTTTCTGTGGGAAGACTTACTCTACCACCAATATTTGAAAAAGTATGCTTGATTTTTGTTTAGTATGTTTATGGGCTACGGCAATTGTCTTTTGCAGTTATTAATTTTAAGACAAGCATTCAACAAAAAGTCAACAAATAAATTCATAACTGTTGAAAGAAAGAATATTTACCTTATTTGCACTCTTAATTCCCAAAAAAGTCTGTCCAAGAGGTACCGGTCGAAAACGGCCATCAAAATAGAAAAGTCCAATGCAGGGATTGACATGTAAAAATGTAGCAACATCAAGGTAGTTGGGTAAGGTTGCAGACAGTCCAAGAATCCTTATCATACTTTGTGTAGATTCAACCTAGGCGAGTTATTTTAATTAAAGATTATTTAATGAAATAAAGTTTATACTAATACAACTAAGAAATACTTTCATGTTTAAAAACAGTACACAAAAATGAGGTCAGGGGTCAACCATAAGTCTTATGAAAACTTTGTAGATCATAAGTCCCAATCACTATTCAATATCTATACTAGAACTCTGTAACTACTACATTTTAAAATTTAATAATTATGTATATAATTATATAAAACAATCTCAGTAAATTCTGTAAACTAAAACTCACTAAGTCAAATTCTCTAATCACAATTTAATATATTTAAAAAAGAAATTTAATTTGGGTAAAGAAGTTACATATTGTGGTAAAAACATATCATTATGACTCTATGTTGCTGCTTACAATACATTTCTGAGGAGCTGCTAGTAAGTTTATTCAGTCTAAGAGGTATAAGCAAAGTAGTCCAAAGTGAATAATCTATGCATCCAGAATCATATGTCCAACAATACTGGATTAGGATCTAACTTGTGGGTACTGGAGATGTAGACAAAGAGGTTGTAAAAGCATCGAGAGAAGCTCCATAAATGGATGAAGTTGGGTAAAAATTAGTGTAGAAAACCACATAAAACCTCTTACCATTAGTTTATTTTCACTAATCTTATAGTCATTTTGAAAATACAAAATCAAACCCCACCAAAAGCAAAGAAACTCTGAATAATACCTATTGTTTAAGAAATCTTTATTTTAATTAATTATACCATAATTCTTTGTAACACCACTGATGACTTGAAAAGATATTCAAGTGATAGATGAGGGGCTGGGAAGGTGGCTCAGTGGTAGAGTGCTTGCCTTGCATGCATGAGGCCCTGGGTTCAATTCCTCAGCACCACATAAGCAGAAAAAGCTGGAAGTGGCGCTGTGGCTCAAGTGGTAGAATACTAGCCTTGAGCTGAAGAGCTGAGGGACAGTGCCCAGGCCCAGAGTTCAGGCCCCAGGATTGACCAAAAAAAAAAAAGTATCCATGCTGAATTCACATACAAATACAATTATCAAAAAAAAATCTTAAAAAAAAGAAAGTGAAAGTTGATTTTAAAATTATTACTGAACACTTTTTTTTTCTTTTTGATCAGTCGTGGGGCTTGAACTCTGAGCATGGGTGCTGTCCCTCAGCTCTTCAGCTCATGGCAAGCACTCTATCACTTGAACCACAGTGCCACTTCCAGTTTTCTGATGGTTTACTGGAGATAAGAGTCTCACAGACGTTTCTACCTGGGCTGGCTTTGAACTGTGATCCTCAGATCTCAAACTCCAGAGCCACTGGTGCCAGGCTTACCAAACACATTTTTAAGTTGTTTTTAATATTAAACACATGATACCCTGGCTAAAAAATAAAGACAGTTTTTCCATTAAATTTCTATTTTAAAACAGCCACATTTTAAATAAAAGAATAATCTTATTACAATAAGCATCGAAAGGACTTTATTTGAAATAGTAATAATTTGGAATTTTATGTCCTAAAGCAAATCTCAAAATTGTATTTATACATACATATTATGGAAACTTATTTACTGTCTGCCATTATAAAAGTGATTTGTAGACTTTTCTGTATCATTTTCTTAAAGAGTAGGTAGTCTTTTATGATGTTAACTTATCATGTAAAATTTAAGTTTGGAGAATGTCCCTCTACTCATTGAAAACAAAGTTAGTTAAAAAGACAATTAAATATTAGTTTAATATTGTTAAATACATTTGGATTACTTATACTATTATCTTTTCCCTGTTGTTTATCATTTCAAGCATGTTGTGAGTGTAGTCTTAAATCTAGCATGTGATTTTGATCATAGACAGAATCTATACTACATTGGAATAGCTACCTATTATCCTTTACTTACAATACTGATGTATGATGTGAAACACTACCATCTACTGGGGGCATCGGGTAATCACAAGGAACAATTAAAAACTGGAATCTTGTTCTTAAAATAAAAATAGTTATGAGGACAGGACTGGTACTTTAGAAATATTAAAAGGATCACACATTTCTGTGAAGGAGATTAAGGTTTAGTGAGGAGTAAAAATGAAGATAGAATTACAAGTTACAAGTTTATAAGGAAGACTATGATAAATGACAAAACTAAATAGTTGAGGAAACACATTCTAATTACAGAATATAGAAGTATTATTTGACAGGTTCATAGCACTAGACTTTTCATCAATGAGTGTGTGCATTGATAAAAAAATCCTTACATAATTTGCAACTCATAATCCTTAATCTCATAACCAACAATATGTTCTACTTCAAGAATGATTTATTTCATTTAGAAAAATGGGTCAATGATATTGAAAAGGAAGTAGAGAAAGATCAAATAGATGACAGCTAATGGATAAACAGAAATTAAAATTAGCCAGATACACAGAATTGACTTAAGCAGTCTCAAATCCAGATAAGAAATTGCAATATTTTCCTTCATAACAAAAAAGTAAGCAATGGTTTATGGGCATAACAGAAGAAAAGTATACAAGTGAAATTTGTTAACTGAATAGCAATAATAAAGTGAGGTAGGAATTAATTTATTCTACACGTATATATTATATAGGTATGTCATATATGTTATATTAAGATATATTATATATCTATAATATGTAAATTAGTCTGTAATTTACAAGTTATATACCTTATAATATTCATAAACACTATTGCTTCTAAAATAGTGGACATAATACATACTGTTGCATATGTGTATATGTGTGTGTGTGTGTGTGTGTGTGTGTGTGTACACATATGCATAAAGAAAGGATTAGCAGCATCTGTTCTTTCTCTATGGCGTGTTCACAGGAATAGAAGAGGTCCTGGTTAAATCCTCTTAAAGACATGAGAATGAAAGACCTTCTGTCAAATGTACCACTGATAGTTACTTTGCCCCTAATAATCTTCAGTGCCAGGAAAGGTCTTATCAGTAGAAGTCTCTTAGCTGGATGAACTATTCTCTCTACGTTGCTCCCTGAAAATAAATATGCAACACACAGATTTATGTATCATGGTTGCTTAAAAAACTGAAATTTTTAAAGTATCAAGGTAAAAATAAAGTATTTCTTGATCAAAATATTTCTCTTCTATGTAAATGATGTGCGTGTGCTTCTTTTTGAGAGATCCTATGTAAAATCTGGGTCAGTGTACATCCATACAGGAAAAAAAGGCCTGGAGAAAATTGGCAGCTTCCGACTTCTCCATGCTTCATCAGTGTCTCACAACTTCTTCTAGCCTTAAAATTAATCTTTAATTGGATATTAGCCAACATCTCTAATTTCATAAATACATTTTGAACACTTCAATTTTTTGTATTTTATGTATGGTTTTCAATATGTACATGTATTTATCTTTTTGTTACATATGGTAGGAAGTGATTATTTCCCTAATACCTCTCCAGCTCCATCTCTGCATTAAGAAACTACTCTTGCTGCATATGGATGGATATGTACCTTACTTTTATGCCTTCCTAAAATCAGTATGGAAGCAGAATTTTCTTTATTTCTTACCACATTACAAACCCCTAAAACTATGTAGCTAGCACATAGCAGATGCTTTAAATGTTGATTAAACAAAATGCTAATGAGTGAAAATGTATATTGCATACTTTACCTTCCCACAAATAAGACTGCTACACAAGCACCGCAACTTGCTCTCTCAGGGAACAATAGCATCTTTTAAGCTTAACAGAGATATCTTAGAATGAGGCTTTACCTCATTCTTTTAAAAACTTACAAAGTAGAATTTCATTGGATAGACAGTATGCATTAAGCCATTTCTTCTGTTGCTGAACATTTTGTTTACAAAATATTGTGTTTTAAAGGGAGTTTCAATTAGTTTTGTCTTGGGAACCAAGTGGATATCATATATAAATTCACAGAAAAGATGACTGTTGTTATCTTTTTCTGCTATGTTTTCTGACAATGTTAGCAAGAGATATTTATAAAAACAAATAAAAGTAGCAATATACAATTGAAATTATGTGTGACCAGAAGTCTTTAAGAAGTTATACCTATAATATAGAAAAAGAGACAAAGACAGAGTGAGAGAGACAGAGACAGAGAGACAGAAAGAGAGGTTGAATATCCCTATCCTACAAATTGAAGTCCAATATGACACTGACCTCATGTGACAAGCTAATCAAGGTACACTGAAAACACAGCATAAAATTAAACTTTAGGTTTTATATCTAATATTGGAAAAGAAATAAAATTTTGGCCAAAATATTAAAGTTATGTATGCTAGTCAATCACTTTACCTTTTGTTTAGTAGGAAAAATATAAAATATATTCAGATTTTTCATGGGCCGAGAGAAGAGAAATGGATCAAAACAGTACATTTACCTACATTCTATTATATTTTAATTTTGCTAAGTCAGTATGAGACTTGTTTTGCCACACAGGTTAAGAATAGAAGTTATTCTGTATTTATTTTGGTCAAAGAGTGAAATAAGATCAGCAAGAACTTATTCATGCCTAAAATAAGCTTATAAGTAACTTCCTCTTACCTGCCGTAAAGTACGTGCAACTATGCTTTCTAATACTGGTCCTCTATCTTCATGCAGCAAATGTACCTCATCAAGTATAAGGAGCTTCACAATTTGAGAAAGCGCAACATCCCCAACACTCTTTCTTGTTACTACATCCCATTTTTCTGGTGTGGTTACAAGCATCTACAACATAAGAAAATCAAATTAAAATAGGGAAAAAGCCATGAAGATCATTAAAATTTTAACTGTGTCATTACAAACTATCAATGTTGATTAACTAAAAACTGCTCACACATTCCAGAATGACATATAATTTGCTGTGTACTACAATCAAAAACATCCTTCCCTAAACTAGTATTTCAGTAGTTAGTTAAAGCTCCTAAATCTAGTTAGTAAATTATAATGTGAAATAAAAATTAACTTTTTTAACAAGCATCTTACCAGGTAAAAAAGATAAATAACTATCTTTTAAAGTAGCATGTACTGAGAATGGCCTCTATTTGAGGAGGGATAAAACAAAATAAAAACAACAACCAAAACCCCTAAGAATTTGGTCTAGGATGGTTATGACTGCTAACCTATTGGTACAAGATTTGTGAAAGTAGTACATGCAGAGCTTATAGTAAAAATGGATTCATTTAGTAGAGCACAACTGACACATTTAGCAAATAGTGGGTGGTTGGAGACCTAAGAATCCAGAGCAGTCATTAGGCCCAGGATATTCACAAAATCTGCACAGAAGCAGACCATTTGGCAAAAAACTGTGATTATAAAGCTATTCACTTTTTACAGAATCAATTGTTTTGATCCTCTAAAAACATATTGTGACAGAAGAGAATAGGATGTTTGGTATCCTTTACTGCAGTGTTATATTAGGAAATGAGCCTATATATGGATACTCAAAGAATTCATGAGGTGACAAATCAAAACCAAAGGTTCTCCTAGTCAGTGTAACAGACAACAAAGATAAATGACCACCAGTAACTCAACTATGCTATGCCTTTGCAGGGGTGTCTTCCACACAATTTTAATAATATTTCATATGTGTTTTGAAGTTATATATAGGGATAAATTCTTATTTTTTAGACTGTAAAAAGTGAATTAATTCTTAACAGATGTATAATCCAATTAAATCTACATGACCTGTTCAACTTTTAGAAATATTGTTGCTATAAAATATGAACAATGTAGAACTTATAGCAGTTGTAGGTTAGTTAGTAGAAAGTAATGAAACAGGTTAAGCAATGAATGTCTAAGGTTTGAAATACTACAAATCCAAGTGACTTGATTAATTTAATAAAGCTAAAATGCAATGTTAGCATCACATCAATTTTAACAGAAAAGATATGCTACTAGAAATATGCTAAACAGATGTATAATGAATTTTGAGATTTAAATAGTATGAAAAATCTGCAGTGCATTAACATCCACTTATTATATTACAATAAACTGAATTTTTACTTTGAGTAATGACAGACGAAGATATACACACAAACATAACTTACTACCAAGCCTTTTTACTGACAGTCCTTAAAGCTCATGAATGTAATTACCCAAGAGGCTGAGACCTGAGAATCACAGTTTAAAGCTAGCCTAAGCAGTAAAGTCTGTGAGACTCTTATTTCTAATTATCTAGCAAAATGCCTGAAGCATGCCTGTAGCACAAGTGGTAAATTGAGTGAGAAAGAAAAGGGAAAATGCCTAGGACCTGAGGTCAAACTCCAGTATAGGCATAAAAATGACAACAACAACTACTACAAATTGTGATAAATACAAAGTATGGCTCTTTATCTTAGAACACTGGACCAGAACTTCCTTACATTAAATGTTCAGGGAAAATAATATGGCAACAACAAAAAAAATTTTCAGACATCAGAAAGCTTAGGAATCCTTCGAGCATTTTTTTTCTATATTTGCTTTCAGCACATTAAGAAGTAGTGTGTATTCATTTATATCACTATTTCACCACTTCAATTCTCTGAACTATAAAGTGCCTAGAAAATAAAGTGTCACATTTGCTTAATGAATTGGAACTCATGCAAGACATTTCCATCTGCTCTTATATTAGGGCATGGGTTAACTGTCAATATTTTTACTGTCAACTAAATTTCTTTCAGTACATGTATTTATTCCCTCAGCAGCATAAAAATCATTATTGAAACTATTCCAATTTTAGTCTGTCCACTAAGGAAATGGCGTAAATGATTATATACCATTGTATAAAAAATATGTTGAATTCCATTTTAAAATGCTTATCAGTTTGACAGAAAAAGCAAAGGACTTAAGACTGAACCAAATAATATGATCATTCATTTAAACAATATATCTAAACACTAACCTTGCACCTGTGCACAGTAAAATTAGAATTATCAGTTTTACATAAACATGGATGATTCATTGATCATTCTTTTTCTATGTATGAAGTATATTTCTTCTTCAGGAAAGGAAGAGAAAACCAGACACATTTTAATCTGAATTTTTAGTTGTTTGCATAATCCACTAATTGGACAGGGCTACAAACCTTTTATCAAAACACACCAGAGAGGGAGAATTTCACTAAATGAAGAATGTCTTGCCTGAATCCAAGTATTCATAGACTAGTTCCAAATACAACTCTTTGAATTTTGAGCTAAGAATTATGAAAGAGATCACAAAGCTACTTGCCAAATAATGCCTGTGAGAGGAATGAGTTGGACTGAGTATCTTACATTCTGTTCTTTTGCTCCCCAAGAATTAGCAGACTAAACTAATCTAACATGTCTTGAGAAACAGAATATGTAAAGATTCAAGAGGCAGAAACTGCTGTGGTTGCATTAGTCAGCCAGCAATTATAGGCAGATAAGCTCTAGTGTTAGAATACAGAGTGGAGGTTCAGGCATTCTGCATTTCCTGGTAGAAGTATATTGTTTCTAAATATAGTTTTATCAATACTTTTTACTGAACAAATAATTGCTGGAGATACAAAGATGCAAAAGGTGATTTATGTGCTAGAGTAGCTTGATAAAAACAGAACCAGAATGCCAAGAAAGAAATCAAAATAGTGTTTGGAGGGTGAGGGACAAAAGCAAAGGAGCAGCAGGGGTCACTGTGAGAGGACAGAGTTGTTCTACATCTGTTAGGAACATGGAAAGATGAACACACTGGAGTTTCATTGTGTGTGTGTGTGTGTGTGTGTGTGTGTGTGCGTGTGCGTGTGTGCGTGCGTGCATGCGTG